CTAATCACCCCTTTAATGCATTGGTCCGTTGGAGCCTTCTTTGGCACTATAAAAAGGGGTGTTTGGGTCTGCTTTTCTCACCAATTCACTTCACAACATCTATACTTTCATTGCATTCAAATATCATCATTTTCCATAGCTTTCTAGAGCCATTTGTGTGTGAAGGTTGAGTTGTTCTTGAGCGTACTTAGTTTACTCATAATCTACTCTATAAGAGAGTCTCGTTCTTGAGTGTACTTGCGTTCTTAAACACGTTGAGAGATAGTATCTCTCTCGGTTGATTCAAAGGAAGGTCTGTTTCCTTTGAAGGATTCGTTGAGGTTCGTGTGACTCGAACTCTCAAGTTGTAACGGTTTGTTAAGCACCTGTAAGCTTAACGAGTTAGTAGTGTAGCTCGAGAGAGTCTCTCGGGAGGCTGGATTAGCCACAAGTTGTGGTGAACCAGGGTAAAATTCGGTGTGCCTCTTACTCTTCTCTTTACTTCTCTTTTAATTTTTTTTAATTCCTGCGATTTCTCCGATCAAACGCTATTCACCCCCCCTCTAGCGTTGGTCTGTTATTCTAACATATGGAAGGGCTTCTGCATTAACTCACATTCGTATTTTTTTTTGCAGATGTTACGTTCACAACCTGAAGAGAGAAGGAGATAAATTTGCACCTAGAAGTATTCCTGGAATATTTTTGGGTTACCCACAAAGAAAGAAGGGATGACGCGTGTATTTCCCGGATACTGGGAAGATGAGCGCGTCACGGGATGTGTTTTGTGAAAACGTTTTTCCCTACTTGATTTCCACAGGTGAAACATTGAATGAAGATGGATCGAGTAGTTCCTTTCCAGTTGATCACTTCGATGACGAAGACGACATGCCTGCGGAAGAGCTGCTCGACCGTTCCACGAGGAACGGTCAACCAGAGGAGACCAGTGAGGCAGGCGAGCTACAGGCGGTCGACCTGGTGGACCATCCCTATGTCCACGGTCGACTGTCCGAGAGGGAGAAAGACGGACCTCTGGGAGTGCAACCAACGGTCGATGTAGTGGACCGTTCTGATGACCACGGTCGACCGTCCGAGCGGCAGAAAGATATGCTCCAGAGGGATGATGAAACGGTCGATCGCAAATAGGAGAACAATCGACCGTCTCTGAGGCAGAAAGAAGACGCTCAAGAACCCTTACAGACGGTCGACCGTCCTCTCCCCAGAAAGGACCTTGGGACGTGGTCAACGGGAAAGGCGCCCAAATGTGAGGCTTGCGGATTATGTTACGCATGTTGCTGGTCCACATATCAGAGAAAAGTGTAGATATCCACTCTCCTCATATGTCATTTATGAGAAGTTTTCTCATAAACATAAGTGTTTCCTCACAGCGCTTGATGAAGAAATAGAGCCTAAAAACTTCAAACAGGCGTTCTAGGATGAGCGATGGAGAAAGGCCATGCGAGAAGAAATTGATGCGTTGGAAGCTAATGGCACGTGGTCCCTTTTTCATCCCCCACGTCATAAGAAGGCTCTTGGATGCAAGTGGGTGTATAAAATCAAGTGCAAGTCTGATGGCAGTGTGGAGATATACAAGGCTCAGCTTGTTATACTTGGTAATCACCAGGTTGAAGGTATTGCATGTTGACTACAAAGAAACTTTTGCTCCTGTAGTCTAGTTGACCTCTGTGTGAACCCTTTTAGCAGCCGCAGCAGTTAAGGGATGGAAATTGTATCAGATGGATGTTCACAATGCATTCCTGCATGGAGATCTTTAGGATGAGGTGTATATGAGGTTGCCGCCCGGATTCTCGAGTTCGTCTAATATGGTGTGCAAACTCAAGAAGTCTTTGTATGGCTTGAAACATGCTCCAAGATGTTGGTTTGCAAATTTTCTGGTGCATTGAGACGATATGGATTTGTGCAATCTGTTTCTGATTACTCTTTATTTTCTTTTGTTGGAAAGAAAGGAGTAATCCATGTTCTGGTCTATGTAGATGATTTGATCATTGCGTGTGATAGTACTGAGATGATACGCACGTTCAAGGAATATTTGGTGGATTGTTTTCGAATGAAGGACTTGGGGACTTTGAAGTTCTTTCTTGGCATCGAGGTAGCACGAAGTACATTAGGGATTTTTCTCTGCCAACGAAAGTACGCCTTAGACGTCATTACTGAGACGGGGTTGTTAGGTGCCATGCCGTTGGGTGCCCCGATGGAGCCAAATCATCACTTGGCTCGTTCCCAAGCTCCTGTCCTTGCAGATCTAAAACCGTATAGACGGTTGGTGGGAAGATCTGTCTATCTCTCTATTACCCGACCTGAGCTCTCCTACGTCGTACATACTTTAGCACAATTTTTGAAAGAACCAAGGGAGGATCAGTGGTCTGCGGCGCTTGGGGTGGTCCGTTATTTGAAAGGGTGTCCTGGACAGGGCATTTTTCTCTCTGTAGACAGCAGTCTTCAGCTTACATGATGGTGTGATTTGGACTGGGCAGCATGTCCTTTGACACAGTGGTCGTTGACAGGCGGGTTTGTGCAACTTGGGGAATCGCCGGTCTCATAGAGGACGAAGAAGCAGACAACGGTGGCTCGTTCGTTTGCTGAGGCAGAGTACATGGCTCTTGCTATTCTTACCTGTGAGTTGAAGTGGTTGATGAATTTGTTGAGATGCTTGGGAGTTGATCATAGGAATCCTATGACCATTCGTTGTGACAGCCCCGCAGCCCTTCATATTGCCGCTAATTCAGTTTTTCACGAACGAATGAAGCACATTGAGATTGATTGTCATTTCGTTTGTGATGAGCTTTTACGAGGAGAAATTCGTACCCTTCATGTACCTACTACGCATCAGCTTGCGGATATCCACACGAAGGCACTTAGAAAGTCACGACTGGAGTTTCTTATTCTCAAGTTGGGCATTTCAGCATTACATGCTCCAACTTGAGGGGGGGGGTGTAAAAGAGGAAAGAGAATATTTAGCATTTATTCTCATATATTAGTTTTGGTAGTTTCCTTGTATAGAGATTACTTTTCCTTTGTTAACTAGGACACTTATCTATATATACGTTTGGGTTGTAAATTGTAAAGACGAGAGAGAAATACAAAGAATTTCATTCTGAATAATTCTTTCAACTTTAGAAATCATTTTCGGATGAGTCACCCTATCTTTTTACGCATACTCGCCAATATTGAACGCGAGGTGCCTTGGTTCACCCAACGCTTTGATGCGAGAGGCCAACGCGGGTTTATTAGTGTCCTAAAGTACATGACGCGCTTCGTCAAATGGTGTACGAAACAACATCTGATATGTTCGACGAATACTTGAAGATGTCGGCTCGGAGCATCAAGTCCTGTGTTTATAAATTTTTTAAAGCTATTATTCGAATTTATCAAAAAAGATATTTACGCAAGCCTACAACGAGCGACACTGAGCAGTTCCAGGCAAGGCATGCTGCTAAACACAACTTTGTCAGCATGCCTAGGAGCATTGATTCCATGCATTGGGAATGGAAAAATTGTCCTATTAATTTAAATATATATTTTTTTAGAAACACATCAACATATGTAAAAATATATCGGTAATTCCTTTTTCTCCAAGTTCATTTAATAAATGAAATATTAATAAATTTGATCAATTTCGAGTCTATTTGGTTTCGGGTTTAATCGATTCCAGGTTTTATCAATTTCGGGTATAACTAGTTCGGATCTAATCTGTTTGGGTTAAATCAGATTCAAGTCTAAATCAGGTCTGAATACATTCGGTTCGATTTCAGTTCAGTTCGGATCATTTTGGGTGTTCGGTTTTATTTCGGTTCTTCAGTTTTCGGGTCATGTGATTTTTTTTCAAACAGTGATGCCACATTGGTTACTTATAATCTTAACAGGAATTAATTTTTTTAAAATAAGATAAAGTCAACATCAACAGATAATTTTGAACCGATGGAACGACTCCGTATCATGTGGGATTTAATTTTTTCAAAGATAAAAATTTAAATAATAATTTTTAAAGAAATGTAATTGCAAGACCGGATTTTGCTCTACAATACATAAATACCCAAAAAAATTGAAACAAACCTACCTAATTTGCACACTTTCCTTCGCGAAGATGGATTGTTGATCTGTGAGTTGACTTGCATCAGTGACAGATTCGGGATGAAAAAGGAAGATAAATCCTTAAACAAATATGAGAAATCGCGAATTTCACGCGATGGAGTAGGAAAGGCGAGCGAATTTTTTTGTTCCGCTGGAAATAGACGATGAAGATGGGCGAGAGAAATTTACTTTTGCACGCTAGCTGAAGCCTTCCGAGTGAAAACGTACAAATTAATGACACGTGGAGTGCTGGTGTGGCATTAAAATAAACTTTCTTTAAGTGACACATGTCATCATTCTATTTAATCAACTCTCAAATTTTAAATTAAATGATAATGATAATGATAAGGATAAGAATAAGGAAAATGCTACATGTACCCCATATTGTACCCCATTTTGTACCCTAATGTTTTGCCCCGACATTAAATGTAGGTGCAAAACTGGTAATATGCCAGTGTTGCACCTACATTAAATGTCAAGTTAAAGCTTTGGGGTACAAATATGGGGTACATGTAGCATGCTCCTAAAAATAAGGATGATATTATAAGCTACCTCATCCTTAAATTATTTCTTCATTGCTTATTTGCTTTTTTTCATCGAACAACATCACCTTTGGCATGTCTTCTGTTGTAGCTAGGTTGTCTTCGTGAGATCTGTATGCGATTTTGATGAAGACGAAAGAAATTGTGCAAAGTACATGTACCAATAAAGATTTGAACTTGTTGCTCTTGTTTCAATTGAGGCATATAGTTTTTTTACTTTTCTCAATTTTTATTACTTTCTAATTTTTTATTTCATTTTATAAAACTCAAATAGAGAATTTTTATATAACAGAGGTAATTTAATATACATCCGGCATAGCATATTTAAAAATAAACAATATGAGTTTTACACAATTTTTTATTATTAAATTGATGTATAAACACTTAATTTTTTCATATGGTTAGAACATGTAAAATATTGAAAATATATCAAAATAGAAGAAAAATAGTGAAAATATATCAAAATAGATAGGAGTTCTATGTTTTTATTTTCGAAATAGGAGTTGAAATACATTTACATTACCAATCATGATCATGTACATTAACAAAAAGTATAGTAAAATGCAATGTATAAAGTCACATTATCACAGTGTAAACTTCTATTTATAAACTGAAAAATGAAATTCCTATTTTCGTATCTTCTCTATATTTTACTCCTATTTAGGGTGATTTTTTATATAAAAAATATTAGCATATGTACATTTAAAAGTAATGTAATACTTAATTAAAAAATAAAGTACACAATTATTTTGGTCAATAATTTGAAATGTTGAGAAGAACACATTTCAAAAAAATGTAAAGACAAATTTAAAATCACAAAGGAAATTATTAATTAATTAATTTAATATTTTAATAATTTACGTGACTCAATAATGGTAACTAAAATTTATATCCATGACACACTTTTTTAATAAATTATGACACCAAATTAGGTTATTATTTTATTGACATAAAAATAATAACATATGAAATAAACCTAAACAATTTTTTAATTGTTGGCTGAAATTGGAAAAAATTTAAAAGAGTTGGAAAACTAAAAGTAGTTAGGAGAAACGGGAAGAAGTTGAAGAAATTGGAAAGAGTTGGAAGAAACTGGAAGGAACTTTACTTATTTAGGCTGTATTCCGTTCGCCTAATTTGATCTAATTTTTTGAAAATTTGATTTGTCTAATTGCAGTTGTAATTAAAGCTGTTTATGATCTGATTTGATATAATATGATCTGATTATAATAAGATTATGTAATAACAGAAAAAATATGTTGACGAAATGCTGCCTTAGAGTTTGTGATTATGTAATAATATAGGATTATGCTATGTGTACCCCAAGGTTTGTACCCCAATATGTACCCCGCAGTTTTGCACCAACACTTTGTGTTAGTGTAAAACTAATTTTTGTTAAACGCATCAACATTTGTGTTCGTGTGAATTTTTATTAACGCACCAACACTTGTGTCGGTGTAAACCATCGAAACGTTTGTGCAAACCTGTGGTGTACAAATGGGGTATATTTTTTGGTGTAAGTGTAGGACCGATGTAATATTACATGGATCCACTTGGAAAAGTCGAAACTAATAGGGTCACTTTTGTGAAAACCCCAAAACTTTGTTTTCATAAACCCTAAACCTAGTGTTAATTTGTTTATAAACGGAGCACTCAATCATTTTCTTCCTACTCATATTTTTATTTTACTAGTGCTGAATATTCGATTTCCAATTCCTGGGAATGTTGATTTTGAATTCATATATAATACGAAATGTCTGTGCTGCTCCTTTTATAGAGAGTGCTTCTGAGGATTTTCTTCTTCTTTGTATACGTTTGTGGGTTTTTACTCTTTTTGAGTTATTCCGTATATGTCACCGTCTATTTTGGTTGGAATTTCGTATATTACTTTCACCTTCTGGATTCAATTTTAAGTTTTTTTCCAAAGAACACATTTGTTTTATTGGATTTGAATAGATAAAAAAACAACTTTTTGATAGCAATAATGCTAGCATTGCTTATTATATGGAGTTGTGTTTTTTTTAATAACTACCAATGATTTGCTTACAAGATCTGGAAATTAGACAATAAATTCTGGGCGTTCTGAGCATTCGTTGATAAGGTACTCTGACCAGTTAGTTTTGGGTTTCACAAGTGTGCTTAACTATGGAATCTCTCACTTAGACTCATGTGAGCTACTATTATAAGCCAGATTTGACAATCCTCAGCGTGTTTTTGTATATTCATTGTACTATGTTGTGGTTGTAATTGGAATATATATATTTTTAAACTACTTGAATTGTATATGTAAGCTCTAGGTTTTATATCTCTTTCTCAAAGAATTGACTCATACAGTAGTCAGGTGTCTGCTTAACACTCCTTTGTAGGCACAGTTACATGTATGGGAAAGCAATAACTGAGAGAAGAGGAGATGTATGGGTTTCCCATATGTCTTCGTTCCTTTTCTTAGAAGTGTTCATCATTGCCCAGTAAATATGCACTGATTATTACTGAGCTACATCTGGACACTACAACTGTTTGATATTATGGTTGATCTTAAATCTTTATTCCTTAAAGCTGTGCTATTTTTCACGAAGTAACACTCTGTTCAATTCCATCATCACTTGTTGTTCTACTTGGAGTGGCCTTTGATCCTAAACGTTTTGTGTATGTAGGTTATTTGAAATTCTTTTCTTGTAGATGATTAAGTATAATGTATGAATAAAAAACATGTGGTGTTTTATTCAAACATCAGTCAAGTGTCTGCTTAATAACTTAGGAGCTGTTACATGTTTGGGAAATTGAAAATGGAGAAAAATGTTGGTCAATGGGTTTCCCATTTATCTTCATTGCTGTAAAAATTAAAATCTACGTTTCTTATATCACCTGTCTTACTGGCACATCCAAATTTCATGCTGATGCTGTCATTATCAATGCTTTGCTTACAAGATCTGGAAATTAGACAGTTAAATCTGGGCGTCCCAAAATGAGAAAGTAATTCAGAGGAAGCAAGCATTTGATTCGTAACAAAATCCAGATGAATTGGATGAAATATCATGCCCTTGCCACTTATTTGATATGTTTACTGTCCTCATTGGGAGATGATATGCATCTGGCAGTGGTTCAATACTCCAATGTCTAATGCTTAAGTATGTTTTCCTGCATTTGTTGATTGCAAGGGGTGGAGCTTGTGTATACGTTGGCAAGGTACTCCACTCATAACCAATTGGTTTTGGGTTACGCAATTGTCCTTTATTATGCTCAATATAAGTTGATGAGTTAGTTTGTCCATTGGAATCTCTCAGTGGACTCATATGTGAGCTCCCATAATTAAGCCAGGTTTTAACAACCCTCAATGTGTATTTGTTTATTCGTAGTACTGTGTCGTGGTTGGAATTGGAATATGTATTTCTAAACTACAAGATGTTTTTCTAAAGCTGTCGATTCTCTCTTTTTTTTTCAAGGAATTGACTCATACAGTAGTCAGGTGTCTGCTTAACACTCCTTTGTAGGCACAGTTACATGTATGGGAAAGCAATAACTGAGAGAAGAGGAGATGTATGGGTTTCCCATATGTCTTCGTTCCTTTTCTTAGAAGTGTTCATCGTTGCCCAGTAAATATGCACTGACTATTACTGAGCTACATCTGGACTCTACACCTTTTTAATATTATGATTGATCTTTCAACCTTCATTCCTTAATGATGTGCTAGTTGAAATGAAGTATTACTGTGTTCAGTTCCTTCATCACTAGTTGGTCTACTGGCAGTGGACTTTGATCCTATGCGTTGTGTATTTGAAATTCTTTTCTTGTAGATGTACTCTTTTGAGTCAAAGTGGACAAACTTTGATTTTTAATTAATAAAAACTTTAATTTATATTACTATAAAAATGATTTTATTTTATTTATTTTGTTTAGAAATTTAATTTTTTTCATTATGCTACTAATTGAAGATAATTGGAGAAGAATAATGCATGAATAAAAAACATGTGGTCTGTAATTCTAACGTCACTCAAGCGCCTGCTTAATAACTTCGTAGGAGCTGTTACATTCAACTTCTGTGGCTTATTTCGTTTTATTGGGGTGCTTGCACTTTTTTTTTGGCTCATCTCAATTTGATGCTGTTGCTGTATTGTTGGGTTTGACCTTTTTTTTCTTTTAAAAGAAGGATAGATGAAACAATACTGAATGAAGATTTAAGATTGAGCTATTTTTTTCTTTTGCTATTCCCCTTATACTGCTTTAATATTGGGTCATTACTTATTAGTCAATTGTCACCTACATTCTAATGAGCTTTGTCCAATTTTCTGCAGATGGAATGTGTGTCCTCTCAATACAGAACTTGCTGGGTCTCTAGATCTCTCTAATTTAAGAAATGAGAGAACTGAAAAAGGTGCCCTTGAATTTGGCCTGTGCTCTTTTGATGACAACAAGCCTCACATCCTATTAAATTTGGCCAAATTTGGTTAATGAAAGCCTTATTTGTACCTAACATGAAGAGTAATAATCTTTTTATACTTTTTTCATTAAATAATAAGTTTTGACCATGTAGTCTAATGATATCGTTTTGACTCTTCTAAATGAGAGGTTATGTGTTCATCCTCGATGGAGGCAATAACTCTATAAGTTTCAACAAATTGAGAAGGTATGGACATATATTACATTTTAATAGTATTATTTGTATTCAAAAAAATAATAGAGCAAAGAAACAAGAACAGTTACTAAACCTTGATCAGTTTAGTACTCCGTATTACAAATTTTACCGCTATATGTGGGTAATACCTCAAAAAAAAATTGTGAAAGTGAGAGAGACACACTTAGACATGAAAGAGAAAGTAGTTCTTCATTGCCTCTTTACGGGACACTACAACATAAATACTTCCTCCGTCTACCAATAATATTTTTGTTCACTGACATTTTTGTTGCATATTTAATAATATAAAATATAGTCATTTTATATGCAGTTTTATACATTTTTTCATGTAGTTTTTTAAAAATGTAATTTTTTTTAATTTCATACAATTTTTTATTTAAAAATATTTGAAAATAATTTTAGTCAAATATCGTAACGCGGAACAATATTATTGGACGTGCATATGCAAGAGGAAACTATTCGGGAGTTATAACTCCAACAAGCGCAGAAAATTACTCGCGGGTGACGTGAGTTTTGTCGAAATAACTTTCAGGTCTCTCTATTTTCAAAAAGACAACCGAGGTCTTTATATTTTGTTGTAATGATTGGGAAGGGACATTTCATCTAATACATCATTCTCAAGTGTTAATAAATGTACTCCCTCCGTCCAAAATTAATGTTCTCAGTTTGACTTGGCACGTAAATTTATGTGGAATGAAAATTGGTTTGACTTTACTATTATACCCCTCAAGCTTTTAGCCCTCTCCCCCCACTGACAACTACACCCCAGTGCCGCTGCTGCCCCTCGCCGTCGAAAACTCACCGCCGCCGCTGCCCCTCGCTGTCGAAAGTCCCCGCCGCCGCTGCCCCCTCGCATTCAAAAGTCCGCCGCCGCTGTCGATTTACACTTCCGATTTGAATGCAATTGGTAAGAGATGCAATCGGTCAGATTTAAATGCAATCTTTTCTAGTTTAATTGTGGTCAGATCTGCTCAGATCTAGATCGAAAGGGGGGAAGAAAAAGAAGAAGAAGAAGAATCGGTAAGAGATGAAGATGATGAAGGAAAATTCAGAAGGGGAAAAAGAAGAAGAACGGAAAAATCGAAGAAAGAGAAGTATGAAAAAGTCAGAAGGGGAAGAAGAAAAGAGAGAGAAAGCGAGAAGGCCGGAAAGAATAGGAGGTGTAAACGGGAAAAGGAAAAAAAAGAAAGAAAAAAGGGAGAGGAGAGGAAAGGAGAGGAAAAGTAAAAGAGAAGGGTAATTGAGTTTTTTTAATAAAAAAAAGTTGCCAAAAATAGAAATGGGAACTTTAATTGTGGACATCCCAAAAAGGAAAGTGGGAACTTTAATTATGGACGGAGGTAGTATTTTTTTTCTATTTTGCCACTACCTTGTTTTTTTTTTAAATTTTTTTTTATTTCATTTGTTTTAATATAAAACAAACAATTTTGAATTTTTATACGATTTTATAGAAAAAATTTTAAAATAACACCTTAAAAAATAGTAACAAAATAAAAGAAAAACAAAGAAATAAAAAAAGAGCGACCTAACATTTATTACCTTAAAACATTTAGAAAAGAATAGAAAAATAATACATTTATTAACGTTTATAGATAAAATATTGGATGAAATGTCTCCTTTCAGTCATTACAACAAAATATAAGGACCTCTGCTGTCTTTTTGAAAATAGAGGAACTTGAGAGTTATTTCAACAAAACCCACGTCACCCGTGAGTAATTTTCTGCCATAGTAACCGCATGCATAACTGCCATGCCCACTACTCCTAACTTTAGTTTTTCAAGTATGCCCTCCTCTCCCAAAACTTCTCTAATGGTAGGTTTGGAAACATGTATTTGGTTTCAAATCCGGATTTTGTTCAAATTCTATGTTTGAGAAATTTAAAAAATTTGAATTTGGATTTTCACTAAATTTTTCTCATTAATAACAAAACTTATTTTTAAATCAATGTTATCTCCTATTGTAATTTGAAATTCAAGATTTCAAATTAAAAAATTAAAATACATAAATTGAAATGAAATGTTAATTATCAAACACTACCTAAAATTAATTGGCAATTTTTCTCACTTTCGTTTAAAATTTTCAATTAAAAAAATCAATTCTTAGTTTTCTGCAAATCGCCAAGAAACAATGGACGAAGAAGTAAAATCCAACTCATGGAAATTAGTCCTCCCACGAGCCTATGAATCGTTGGTAGTTCTGTGAGACACAGAAGTAAAATCAAATTGACAAATTGGAATTTGGGCATTCAAATCGATCCAAGGAATCATTGGCCAGATCTGTGAGAGAGGGAGAAGGTGAAGACATCTTCGGCCAAATCTATGGGAGAGGGAAAAGGTGAAGAAATATTTGGTCATATCTTTGACACACAGAGAAGATGAAGAAATCTTTGGTAATTCTATGAGACACAGAGAAGAAGAAGAAATTGATGGAGAAGATGAAAAAATCTGTGGGAGCTCTTTATCGCGACACTTAGATTCCTTGACCATGGAGAAATAAATAGGGTAAAAGGATCTTTTAAGACATGGCAGAGAGGGAATAATAATAACTAGATTTTAACCCATGCGATGCACGGTAAGAATATTTTATAAAGCAATAAAAATAATAAATGATCATAATGTAGGCTTAATGGAAATGAGCAAATTCTAAAATTGCTTCACATCTACACATAATTGCAATAAATTTAAATAATAAAATTACTTGGATATTTAGGGAAAAAGGGTACAATATTCCAAATACTCCACATATGTTACCAAATCACAAATTGTGGAAAATTTCTTTGTCAATCACACTGGTAAGGTAGTCCGTTTCCTTTTTCTTCTTCATCACAAATTAAAATCTTTAGTCCTTTGCCACACTGTATTACAACTTATGAGACTCCAAAAGAGTCAAGCACAAACCGCAAGAGATTAAAGCTCCGATTACTTGTGAGTACATCCAAATAAAAATATAACAAAACACATGCCCATGAGTTCTACAAAACTAATTACGGAGAAAAAGAGAAGTAATGCCCAACTTGGTAGTATTATTGCCCGAATGAAGATTTTCAAAACCATCAATGTCCAGTGATTGCTACTCAGGTTGCCTGGACTCGCTAATTATTCCTCAAGTAGGTGCTGAAATTAGCACAAACATTCAAATTATAAGTTCTCTGCATGGAGACTTTTATAGGACACAAAGTAAGATGATGTCTCTACTTCATTGGGACATATTAAATACTAAAATAACACGCATGTCCAAAGAACTCCTTCAACTTCTATATTCTGAGAAAGAAAATCTAATCCATGAACATGGGTGCAAAAAGATGAGAACAGAGCTTCAATATGCAAAGGTGTGAGAACAAAATGCCAAAATGACCCTCCTACTGTACAAAGTATCCATCAATTCCAAAAAAAACTAAATCTTGTGCCCAAAATTTTTCTCATCCCTCATCTCTAATTACTACCAATTAAGACAATGTCAATGCTTGCAATATTTTCTATCGAATAACGTCTAATAAAAATAAAACAGGAAAAAATCATAAAAAACCTAAATAATTTTTCTATACACAACATTTCAAAAGTGCTCTAAAAAATATTTTCTTCTTCTTAAGTTAAAAACATTTAATCTTTGTCATTTTGTCACATGAGGTAGTGACTTAAGATCTACCATGGCGAAACACTGAATTTTTATTTAGTAAAATATCATGCAATATTGTTATGAACTTTTGTATTTTTGTCAATTTAATAGGGTATGCTTGTCACCCCTAAATATTTAAACTTAGAATAGAATGAAGAAGAGGAGGTTACCCATTATTTGAATATGCCTTCTCTATGCTACGTTGCTGCTCTCCATGGGCGAGGCTAAGCTCAAACCCTAGCCTGGCCCTTCTAACCTTGCTTCTGTTTGCTGCTACACCATTGTTTTACGCTATCGAATGCCTTTCTCTCTGCTCTATAACACCTACACACCTGATTATCCATACTCAAGAACGTGGCAT